TCTGTATAGCTTTGGAGCCTATCCTGGCACTCACTTGCTCTGGAGACCAGGCTGGCCTAGAACTCACAGAGATCTGCCTGCCTCTGCCTCCCAAGTGCTGGGATTAAAGGTGTGTGCCACCAACGCCCAGCCTAAACAGGAATTCTTAAAAGCATGTCTGAGACCAGCCTGGTCTACAAGAGCTAGTTCCAGGACAGCCTCCAAAGCCACAGAGAAACCCTGTCTCAAAAAAACAAAAAAGAAAAAAAAAAAGTATGTTTGGGAATTTAAAATTTCTCATAAATGGTCAGATGCCGATCCAAACAACCATGACCTTTGAGGTTTTAAATAAAGCAGATAGCATTTACTGAGGCTTAATCATAGGATAATTTTATGCCAAAAGTAATTTTCTTCTGTAAGACTCTGTCTAGTGTCCTAGTGTCTACCCCATCTCATGACCACATAGGACCTATGTATAAAAAGATAGAAGCTAAAACCCTCATATGAAAGAGAACATATGGTCCTTTCTGGGCCTGGGAAACTTCTCTTCACATGTTTTCCTGTTCCATTTGTTCACTGACAAACTTTATGATTTCCTTTACAGTCTTTACAGCTGCATGTCTCCATTGTGTGTGTGCGTGTGTATATATTCATTATCCATTATCAGTTGATGGACATCTAGGCTAGTTCTGTTTTCTAGCTGTTGAGAGTAGAACAGCTGGGCTAGAGAGCTGGCTCAGTGCTTAAGAGCACCAGCTGCTCTTCCAGAGGACCCAGGTTCAATTCTCAGCACCGACAGGGCAGCTCACAACTGTCTGTAGCTCCAGTTCCAGGGGAGCAAGGACAGACCTTTGGGTATAAGTCCCAGATTGGTGTAGCTAGAGCCTATGGAAGATCTTTTTCTGCTGCTGCTGCAGGGTCTCACTATATAGCTCTGACTTTCCTGGAACTCGCTCTCTAGACCAGGCTGGCCTGGAACTCAGAGATCCACAGGCATCTGCCTCCCAAGTGCTGGAATTAAAGGTGTGCACCTCTATTGCTGACATATTTTTAGCTTCTTGAGAAACCTCCACATTGGTTTACAGGATGGATTTACCAACAGTGAATAAACCACTAGCATTTGTTGACAGGGGTGAGATGGGATCTCAAAGTAGTTTTTTTTGTTTGTTTCTTTTTTTTTTGGTTTTTCGAGACAGGGTTTCTCTGTGGCTTTGGAGGCTGTCCTGGAACTAGCTCTTGTAGACCAGGCTGTCTTGAACTCACAGAGATCCGCCTGCCCCTGCTTCCCGAGTGCTGGGATTAAAGGAGTGTATCACCAACGCCTGGCTGTTTGTTTGTTTTTTTATTTTGTTGTTGTTATTTTTTCTAGACAGGGTTTCTCTGTAGCTTTGGAGCCTGTCCTGGAACTCACTCTGTAGACCGCGCTGGCCTTGAATTCACAGACTGTTCCTAAGTGCTGGGATTAAAGATGTGTGCCACCACTGTCCAGCTGTTTGTTATTCTTATATGACACTAGTTCTCAACCTTCCTAATGCTGTGACTCTTTAATACTGTCCTTCATGTTGTGGTCTCCAGCCATAGAATTATTTTTGCTGCTACTTCATAACTGTAATTTTGCTACTGTTATGAATTGTACTATAAACAGCTGATATTTCTGATGGTCTTAAGCAATCCCTGTGAAAGGGTTGTTTGACCTCAAAGGAGTCTCCACCCACATGTCAAGAAACACTAGTATATAAAAAGGCTACTAATTTATTATTGTTATTATGTTATTGTTGTTTTGTGTGTCTGTGTGGGATATATGTAGCTATGCATGTCACAGCATAGACATGAACAATTTTGTAGAGTCGGTTCTCTACACCTTTACAAGGTGTGTTAGTTACTTTTCTGTTGCTGTAGTAAAACACCATGACCAAGGCAACTTTTTTTTTTGGGGGGGGGCTTTGAGACAGGGTTTCTCTGTGGCTTTGGAGGCTCTCCTGAACCTAGCTCTTGTAGCCCGGGCTGGTCTTGAACTCACAGAGATCCGCCTGCCTCTGCCTCCCGAGTGCTGTGATTAAAGGCGTGCACCACCAACAACCAAGGCAACTTATTGAAGAGCTTATTTGGGCTTATGATTCCAGAGGGATAAGAGTCTGTCTGAGGCTGTGCTTGTATTGCTGTGATGAAACACCATGAGCAAAAGCAGGTTGGGGAGGAAAGGGTTTATTTTACTTAAACTTCCACATCACTGTTCATTATCAAAGGAAGTTAGGACAGGAACTCCAACTGGCCCAGAACCTGGAGGCAGGAGTTAATGCAGAGGCCTTGGAGGAGTGCTGGCTTCCTCAGCCTGCTCCCCGCCCCCCCCTTTTAGGTTTTTCTGAAACAGGTTTTTTTTGTGTGTGTGTCCTGGAACTCCCTCTGTAGACCAGGCTGGCCTTGAACTCACAGAAATCCGCCTGCCTCTGCCTCCCGAGTGCTGGGATTAAAGGTGAGCACTACCTACCACCTGGCCTCAGCCTGCTTTTTTTACCGCACCCAGGACCATTAGCCTAGGGTGTGGCACTACCCACCATGAGCTGGGCCCTCTTGACTCAACTGCTAATTAGGAAAATGGTGACTTTTTTTTTTTTTTTTCAGTTGAGGTTCCCTCTTCTCAGATGACTGGCTTGTGTCAAGTTGACACAAAACTAGTCAGGACAGACTCCATGGTGACAAAGTAGAGCAACTGGAGCTGGAAGCTGAGGGCACATATCTTGAACTGCAGACAGGAAGCAATGGTGCAGGCTTACTTCTTCCAGCAAGGTCACACCTCCTAGTCCATCCCAAACAGCAACACCAACTGGGGACCATGTGTTCAAATATCTGAGCTTTTGTAGGACATTTCATTCAAAACACCACCCAACGGTCCTGGGGATGAAACTCAGACTGTCAAACTTGCATAGCAAGCACCTTTATCTGCTGAGTCATCTCACTGGCCCCAGCTAATAGTTTTTGTTGTTGTTGTTAACTTTGTATCTTGACACTGTGCAGAAAGTGTCTATCCATTTTAAGATTCTTCTCCTGGGGTGGCTAAGGTCTCTTTTGCATAGAATCATCTGCAAATAAGGATAATGTTGATTATAACAACAAAGATATTTTTCTGAGGCCAACAAGATAGCTCAGCAGGAAAAGGTGCTATGCGCAAGCCTGATGATCTGAGTCTGATCCCCAGATCCCACAAGGTTGCAGAAGGAAGCCAACTACCAAAGGTTGTCCCCACCAAGACCCAATGCAGCAGGTACCTTTTGAGCACCCAGGGGTCTGTGTGTATGTTTGTTTGTTGTTTTTTTTAATCAGCTTTTATGGCCCTTTGGTGAGCAGGCTCTGTGATTACTGTCACTTCACAAATATGAAGACTGGGTGAGACCTGCAAACCAGTGTCCTGGGCTCCCACCGGAGTGAGCAGTAGATCCAGGGTGAGATAAGAAATCAAGCTCTGGGGGTCCAGAGCCCACTTCCATGACTCTCAACCTCACAGTCCTTCCCCAGACCCTCTTGTTCAAAAACCGTGGCTGGAGATCCATCTAAGATTTCCTGCAGCCCTGACCTGGCTCACAGTGGGTAGGCTGCCTCATGACACAGTGTATCCCCAGGAGGAGAGAAAGCAGAGAAAGTCAATGTCACAGAGCAAACACTGGCCAGAAGCCAGAAACCCTGGCAGAGCCTGGCCTCCTAGGACCACAGTCTGCAAAACTAAGAACACAGGAGGGGCAAGTAGTGGCCATGTGACAGGACCCTCAGAGTCACCCAGCTCTGCCTCTACCTCCTTGGTTCCTCTCTGGTGCTCAACCCCATGTCCTCACCAGCCAGACTCTATTTGGCCTCTACCCACTTCCCTGCCCCTGTTGTCTCTAGGGCAGAGTCCTTTAATCCCTTTGCCACCAAGGATCTTAACAGGCTTGCTTGATAATAGTGTATATGGGGACTGAAGGGCCCTGGGGACTGATAAGCTCTCAGAGGAATGGAGCATGTGGGTGGAGGCTTTGGGACAGTCCCTTTATCTCCTCTGACCTGTGAAGTGAATACAGCTGTGGAGTGGCCAGTCCAGCACTCTACAGTTTCCATAGCCTCCTGCCTTCTCTGATGACATTAGTTTATAGGATACTATGGGGCCAGAGTGGATGGGTGGTGGTCTGTTGTGCTGGGTGGGTGGTGAAGTATGGCAGGCTGTTTTCCCTGGGCTTGGGGTTCTTCCCCCCCCCCCTTAATGTTTTTTTGAGACAGGGTTTCTCTGTGTAACAACCCTGGCTGTCCTGAAACTCACTCTGTACACCAGGGCTGGCCTCCAACTCACATAGATCCTCCTGCCTCTGCCTCTCAAGTGCTGGGCTTAAAGGTGTGTGCCACCCCTCTCAGCATCTGAGCCATTTATGTGACTGTGGAGCCCACTGGCTGAGGGGAGTTGTATGGTATGCCTTGGGTGAGTGACAGCAGGAGACACTGTCCCCCCAGTGAGTGAGACAAGGTGCTCACTGTGCAAGCATAAGGACCTGAGTTTAGATCCCCAGAATCCACACAAAGCAGCTGAAATGGTGAGCTCCAGGTGAGCTCTCAGTGAGAGACCCTGCCTCAAAGACTGTGGAGAAGCAAATGAGAAAGACATCCTGAGGCCAGCAGGGATGGTGCACATATTTTTTCTTTTTCTTTTATTCTGAGACAGGGTTTCTCTGTGTAACAACCCTGGCTATCCTGGAACTCTCTGTCTATAGACCAAGCTGACCTTGAACTCACAGAGATCCAACTGTCTCTGCCTCTCTAGTGCTAGAATTAAAGATGTGCTTTAAACCAGGCAGTGGTGGCGCACACCTTTAATTCCAGCACTCAGGAGGCAGAGGCAGGTGGATATCTGTGAGTTCGGGACCAGCCTCATCTACAAGAGCTAGTTCCAGACCAGCCACCAAAGCCACAGAGAAACCCTGTCTTGTGCTTTAATCTTTAGGATGCACAGCCAGGGTCTGACTGGCTCTCCCCTGACCCCTCTGTCTTGCTGCATCCAGGTGGTAGTGCTCATGGACCCAGGCGAAGACCCGGAGGACACACTTCGTGCACACCGGTCCCGGGAGCGCACCTTTATATTTGACACCGTGTTTGACCAGAATGCATCTCAGGTTCATACTACCCCCTCTGCCTCTAACTCCAGGAGCTCCCTGGACCTGGCTTCTGGGCTGTCTCATGTCTGTCTTCCTCTCAGTCTCCCTGAGGAGCAAGGAGGTTGTGAGGAGATAACCCATGAGCTCCTCCAGGGGTCACCAAGTCCTGCGGGTTTCTCTTGAGTTTGTTCACTGGTTCCTTCATTACACATGATATCAGGACACACAGGCCTTTCCTGCACCACCATTGGGCAAGGTTAAACTGAGCACATGTGTCCTGCTCATTATAACATGTGATGGCCAACAAGGCCCTCTTCAAGGAGGGTCATCTAAGGCGTAGAGCTGTCATAAAGCTACGCAGGGGTCTGGCAAGAGGAGCCTGTAATGCTCATCTCACAGACAGAGAGCCTCCAGGAGGTCACACGGCAGGGCCCAGTGCTAGACGTTAGGGCCAGGCATTGATCTTTCTCATACATCATGTCACTACCATCATCTGTAAGACCACAAGATGGTACCACATGCAACCTAACCACACATCAACAAGGGGAACCAGGGCTCATCAGGGATAACAGTGAAGGTAGGATTTGAGCTTCGGGCTCCTGAAATGAATGTCATAGCACCAGGGTAGCAGCATCTGGGGGAGATTTTGGACCCGAGTGAAACAGCGTAAGTAAGATGAGATGCTGTGCATTCCTGTCCTACTGTTAAGAGGGAAGGTCAGCTGCCCTATCTATATTCAATACCATATTTCTCACTTCTTACATTTTTTATGTGTATGAGTGTTTGCCTGCACGTATGCAAATGTTCTATGTGCATGCCTGGTACTCACAGAAGCTAGAAGAGGGTGTCAGGTTCCCTGGAACTGGAGTTACAGACAGTTGTGAGCTACCATGTAGGTGCTGAGTACTGAGCCCAGGTCCTCTGTAAGAGCAGCTTAACCATTGTGCCACCTTCTCAGCCCCTTCTTCTTCTTCTTCTTCTTCTTCTTCTTCTTCTTCTTCTTCTTCTTCTTCTTCTTCTTCTTCTTCTCCTCCTCCTCCTCCTCCTCCTCCTCCTCC